GTAATTTTAAAATTCCCATGTTATTCTTATGGAGAATATTGTCAAATGTTGTAGTTTGCTTGTTTATGGATATATTTTGATCAAACATGGCAAATTTATTTATTTATTACTAAGCTATCAATATTTTACTCAAAAACACACTTTATTAGTTTCCTTGTAGCAGCAAACCTAGGTACTCGTTAAACCTAATGTTATTAAAATATATTTAACTGAAAATCAATTCAGACAAATGGAAATTCGCTTAGTCGGCAGGTTTGCTGCGGCGGGGGTATTTTTTTATTGCTGTCACTAGAATAGTAAATTTTAGTTTTGTAATGTGTTTTGTAATGCCGCACAGGGATACATTATCATCTCAATTGTTTTGTTCAATTTCGGAATCTTACACTTCGGAATCACATAGCGTCGCACGGGTCACTGACCCGAAAGTGCCGTGCTAAAGTGAATTTGTAATGCGCGACCGAAAGATCAATTCTGACTTCCTCTGTTCTTTTTGTTAGGTTACTATCTGAATGTGTACAAACAGATTTTCGGTATTACATTTTGATATTGATTATTAAATTTTAATTAAAACTAGTACAAAATTACGTTTTTCTTGATTTTTGGCAATATTTGCAGCCGATGTTAATACTGTTAATACTGTTTAATGAAATGGCGACCATACATAGTAGGTATTTTAAGCCAAGTATGAATGGAGATGAATGTAGGATGAGTGGCGCGATCTTGTAGTCTTGTTAGTGACTAAGGCCGACATTCCTTAGACACAGCTGTTAATTAATAGCCCCAGAGATGTGCGACCGGAAGATATTAACATACAATACTATTATTTAAATATCAAATGGCATTTTAAACTATTGCATGTTAAAAATCAAAATTAAAAAAAAATGTAAACATTTCTGATAAAAAATGAGTTTTTTTTTGTTCAAACTTTAAGAGCACATGCGCGACAGGAAGATAACAACCAATATTTTTAATATTTTTACACTGTTTTTGTGTTACAATTTAGAAACTTTTCCAAGGTATTACAACTTAAAAAAATTATTGATTTTTTTCAACCCACCCTACTATTTTAAAATATTAGCTCGCTTTCTGGTCCGGTACAAATTTTGCAATCAATTTTATACTAAGTACCCGATGAGCTAGAGACTTGAAACTTGAAACATAGCTCACAAATGGATGACAATGCAATATTATATAATTTAATTTTCATATTTCCCTTGGGCTACACCCCACGGGCTTGTTTTTATTGATCCGCTTTCTTACAAATTTTGATACTTCCCGATGAGCTAGAGACTTGAAATTTGAAACATAGCTCTCAAATGGATGACAATGCAATATTATATCATTTAATTTTCATACTTCCCTTGGGCTACGCCCTATGGCCTTGTTTTTATTAGCTCGCTAGTCGCTTTCCTACAAATTTTGATATCAATTTTAAACGAAGTTCCCGATTAGCTAGAGACTTGAAATTTGAAACATAGGTTACAAATCAACAACATAGGTTGACAATGCAATATTATATCATTAAATTTTCATATTTTCCTTGGGCTACGCCCCATGGGCTTTCAAATTTTCCATGTTTACATTTGAAAGAATGTAAATATATCAATTAATTTAAGTCAGCTGTAAATACTTAAATTTGACAGTTCGAAGAGCAGAGGTTAAGAGGTACAGATTATGCTCCCAAGAGATTCTTTATACGAACAAACATTTCAAAATAAATTGAAACAATCTGATTGCTGATATAAAGGTGTTTGTTAATATTGTCATTTGTTATTTATTTAGTATTCTATAAAGTAAACAATTAATTAAATAGATTGATATATTTATAGTTAGTAGGTAGGCCATACATTCAATCTAATACATAATTATATGAAAAGAAACTCAAATAAACCTTAGATTTCCCACATGCCTCTGTCTCAACCTGATATAGATGCTTGAAATAGATTTAACATCCACACACATTAAAAACTAAAAAGTAGAAAATCATTTATATATGTGTGGAGAGTATAAATACTTGTAGGATTTAAAACGAAAAACATTGGGTGCATGCAATTGATAATAATACATTAGTTCAATAGATGAAGGTAATTGTAAATTATCTATTGCATGCACCCAACGTTTTTCTTTTTAAATCCTACAAGTATTTATACTCTCCACATATTTATAAATTATTTTCTACTTTTTAGTGTGTTTGAAAACGTTTTGTTTTAAAAAAGTTTTTTATTTATAAATTATTATTAACTTAAACCTTAACTTTTCAACCATTTGAGATATTTGAAATCTGTTTGCGGCAACCTTCTTCGATATTAAGGGCTACAATAATTATGGTCAATTTTGAAAAATTTGCCCTTAGGGGTAGTGGGGGTAGGGGGTAGCTCAAAATTTTCAAATGACAGGTATAGTCGAGTTTGTTATCAATTTACAGGTCTTGACAAAACATAAAAATTGACATAATGAAAACCAAAATCTGCCCACTAATAACAAAATTGCACCCTAGAACGTTTCAAATTCAAATAACCATGAGGGTGGCTGAAAATTAACTTGCACCCCCTTTAACTTTTTAACTATTTGAGATATTTGAAATCGGTTTGCGCCAACTTGTTTGGATATGAAGGGCTGCAATAATTATGGTCAGTTTTGAAAATTTTGCACTTAGGGGTAGCAGGGGTAGGGGGTAGCTCAAATTTGCAAATAGCAAGTATAGTTGAGTTTGGTATCATTTTACAGGTCTTGACGAAACATAAGAAATAACATAAAGAAAATAGAAATCTGAGCATTAATAACAAAATGGCAGTTCAAAATTACTTTTAATGACCATTGTCTTAATCATTTTTAGCTGCCATTTTGTTATTAATGGTCTGATTTCTATTTTCTTTATGTTAATCGTTATGTTTTGTCAAGACCTGCAAAATGATACCAAACTCGACTATACTTGCTAATTGAAATTGTTGAGCTACCCCCTACCCCGCTACCCCTAAGGGCAATATTTTGAAAACTGACCATAATTCTTGTAGCCCTTCACATCCAAACAAGTTGCCGCAAACCGATTTCAAATATCTCAAATAGTTAAAAAGTTAATGGGGGGTGTAAGTTACTTTTCAGCCACCCTGTATATACAACACATTTTAGAATATTTCACTGTCATCAGCTGATTTCTGTACAGAAATTTATTTGGTGCTGTGACAAGAGTCTAGCGCCTTTCTTGTTGTTCATGTATGTTTAGTAGTAATTACTAATTATTATTATTATTATGTAGAACAGGTACAGTACAGACCTTTGCTTGATTATTTGTTAGAAGAGGTCGGTTCTATCATTGAATTTATTTATTTTCCAATAATCACATAACATCATATTCAGACAGGTGATTTGTCATTGTTACAATAATTTATAGTCTCTATACTAAAACTATTACTAAAATAAATTTCATATGCTGAGCCTTAACATCTACACAGCTTCCATACCTATATTCCTCCAATGAGAAGAAGGCCTTTTCCAAAAGAAAGTTTTTTAACTTCTTTTTGAATTTAGGGAATGAATCAGTGTCCCTAATTGAAGAAGGTAATTTGTTGTATATTTTTGGACCCATGTACTGAGGAGATAAATGGAATACTTTAAGTCTGTGTTGAACTGGTTTTATATTGTTTTTAAATCTAGTGTTATGAGGATGTTCATGTTGATCTTCCATGAATGTGTCAAAATCACTTTTAACCATTAAAGCCAGTTTAAAGATATAAGAACTATACAAAGTAAGAATTTTAAACTGAATGAAAACCTCTTTACTGTGAGTAATTCGAGACACTTTGGCTAAGACTCTAACTGCTCTTTTCTGGAGGATAAAAATTTGTTCGGCATGACTAGAAGAACCCCATACTGTTAAACCGTAATTCATGATGGAAGAAAAATAAGCGTGATATACTGCTGATTGTGTGTCTAAATTTGTAGTATGTCGAATTACCCGAAGAACAAGTATAGCTGATCTGAGTCTCTTTGATAGATTCTTATTGTTTGTTTGCCAATTAAGTTGCCAATCTATATCAATTCCCAGGTAATTGACAGAGTTTTGAGAATATATTGATGTTTGGTTCAAATTTATCAATGTCTCGACTCGATTCTCATTAGCAACTGAAAAGTGAATTAGTTGTGTCTTTGACACATTCATAGATAGACCATTTGCTGTGAACCAGTCCCCGAGGAGTTGAAACTCATTAGTAATTAAGTCTTGTTTAAAATCCAATGTTTTTTGTTCAGTGCAGATTAAAGCAGTATCATCTGCATATTGAAAAGTATGCATTTTTGTAACATTACATAAATCATTTACATAGATTAAAAATAAACAAGGTCCAAGAATGGAACCTTGAGGAACTCTATAGGGTGTATAACCCCATTCTGACTTATATTTAGTTTGGCATTTCTGTAAAATAATTCTTTGTTTACGACTTTTTAAATATGAAATGAACCATTTTAATTCCACATTTTTTATCCCATGTCTGCTTAATTTTTCTAGCAATATATCATGATCAACACAGTCAAAATCACAGTCATGAATACAACATAAACGAGGTGGTAACAGAAACTAGTAATATTTAATGTCAGTTATGGCAAAATACTGATGGCTGCAAATACACAGATTCACTCTTACAAAGAGTTTGGAATTGAGCAAAATTTTTATAAGGGTTTAGATTATTTATGCATGTAAATAGCTACAGTCTTTCTTACTTTAACACCCAAGTGATAGCAATCCCAATATGAGCTTTCCCTAAGAGGTCGATTTTTATATTGCCTTTTATTTAAACTGTTTGTGTAAACTTAAGTTGAGAAAATTACTTTTAGTTGTTAGGTACAACTAGATCCATCAATAATTTTGTGTTACATTAATATGTATTTTTTAAATCTTATTAGAGGTTTTAAAGTTTTCACAGCTTGGTGGGTACTCTGTCTTCATAAAAAGTTGCTTCAAGTTTCTAGATAAATGTTTATGTAATTAACTTAAAGAATGTTACCCAGAGGGATATGACGAATCTGAGGAAACTGAAAATGGTTCTTCATATGCCGGAGTTTGACAAACCACCATTGACTCTGCACCAGCACTAAACTCTCTGAAACAAACGTCAAATATGTTACCAGATCGTTAGTTTATATAGTTATTATAGTTTGTTATAGGAACTACACTAATTAGTAATAAGGGGGAAATCATTAGTTTACTCTGAAAGCAGTCTTAGTATTGCAGGTACATTAATCCATTCCCAAACTCCACAATACTCGCCCTTGCTAATCAAATCAAATCAAATCAAAATGCATTTATTCTTGAGCGCTTCTCAATACAATATTGGTTTACAGAATAACTCACGTCACTAAAACTAAACATTTACAAGTCACATATCATAACTACAAATTATGTACAAGGATAAACATACAACAACAAATTACTTGCCTGCTTTACAATGCATTTTAACCTTTTTTTTAAAGCTAAGGCCGAAAGGCTTTTTAACTGATAGGGGAGGTCATTATAAATGGTTGGGCCGAAATAGGAGAACCCCCTCCTTCCTATTTCCAAACTTTTGGAGTGTGGAGGAGGGTGTCCTGTCTAGTGCCCCGTCGAGCAATTGCTCCACGTGTCACAAGTCTCTCCACCAGGTATTTTGGTTCTCTGTGAGATAATACCGGATGGATGAGACAACAAGTTTGCACTCTGCATACAGCATCGGCTGGCAGCAGACCAGCAGAATCCCAGAAAGAGGATATGTGTTCCCGCTTATGAAGTCCGTAGACAAAACGAACTGCGGTGTTTTGCAGCCTATTAAGTCGGTTCATATCCTCCCGGGAAATACTGCTGCCGTATGCAGGAATGCAGTAATACATCACTGACAACACCAGAGACTGAACCAACTTCAATTTTGCAGTCTCTGCAAGAATCTAACGGAATCTGTACAGTCCTCACAGCCTTCCCAAAACAATTTGAGAAACGTAAGTGATGTGGTTGGAGAAGGTAAGACCACTGTCAAGAACCACACCCAAAGTCCTGACAGTGTCACAAACCCTAAGCTTTTCATTGTCAATTTGAATATGCACTTCACCGTCGCAGATTTTTTTGATTACGATGGGTGGTGATCCAATGTGGATCACTGTCATTTTTCAACATTCAACTTAAGGCCGTGCTTCCTTGACCACTCACTTATTCTCTCAAGATCCATGTTTGCATCCTCAAAGTCGCTGTTGAATGAGCCGATTGGGTAGAAAATATGCAACTGCCAGTCATCTGCATATGCATGCACATTACAGTGAAGGACACACGTGGTAAGGTCGGCTGTGTAGAGGGTAAACAAGATGGGTCCCAGACAACTCCCCTGCGGGACTCCCCTAAGTTTTTAAGGGGAGGCAAGGTGTCTGCACCAATCCTGGTTACCTGGGATCTGTTTCGAAAATACGACCTTAGCCAGCTAATTGCCATATCTCCAAATCCAAAGTGTCTCAATTTGCTGAGTGGCAAACCATGGCTGATGGAGTCAAAGGCCTGCGAGTAATCAAGCATGATCAAAGAGCACACCGGCCGCTGTCTCTCGCCGCAAACAGGTTTATCAATGCAGTGTTTGTGCTATGATTTTTTCTAAACCCAGATTGAAATTTAGGCAATAATTATTCTTCATCAATGAAATCCGTAATTTGTCGAACAGTTATCTTTTCGAGTACTTTCGACAGAGCTGGCAGGACTGAAATTGGCTGAAAAGTTCATTCAAATTAGGATTCTCCTTCTTAGGCATTGGATGGACGATACTTTGTTTCCAGGTTATAGGGAAAATTCCTGTAGCTAAAGATGTATTTATTAAATGTGTTATGGCCTCAATAGCAAACGGACTAATGGTTTTTATCATTAAAATACTTATTTTATCAATTCCCACAGCTCTGGAAGTTATCTCATTCATAGCGGATTTTACTTCATATTCTGACACAGCTTTAAATTTAAATATATTTTTATTGTCATTATGGGTCGTCTTTCTGTACGTATTCATTATATCTTTGTCCACTTCATAAAATGTGTGTTTTACAATATATTTATTTATATCACTGACATTAAAATCTTGAAGAATCGTATTATTGCTCTCTTTACTCGAAATATAATTTTGTTTAAGGCATTTCCAGAACTCTTTGGTGTCTTTACTGTCAGACAATTTTTATCTATATAAAAGTTCTTTTTAGCATGCCATATAGCACCATTCAATTGATTTCTAATTTTTTTATACCCCGTCTAATCGTATTCATGTCTTGTACTCAAATTACTTTTTCTTCAACTACTACTTCCTTCACCACTCCCTACGTAGTGGACCTGTTTCCCTCCCTTCCCATAGCATTTCAGAATTGCAGATACATTATTGTAATTGCCACAGACAGTTCCCACACTCTGCACTGCTAGCCTTTCTACTTCCTTCACCATTTCCTACATCATGGACCTGTTTCCTTCCCTTATCATAGCATTTAAGTATTACAGATACATTAATCTAACTGCCACAAACGGTTCCCCCACTCTGTGATGCCCGCCTTTACTACTTCCTCCTTCACCATTTCCTACGTCATAGACCTGTTGCCTTCCCTTCTTTATTGCATTTAAGTATTACAGATACATTAATCTAACTGCCACAAACAGTTCCCACACTCTGCGATGCTAAACTTTACTACTGCCTACGCCACTTCCTACATCGACCTGTTTTCATCTCTTTCCATAGCATTTTAGTATTTTAAATACATTAATCTAATTGCCACAAACATTTCTCACATTCCGCACTGCTAGCATTTACTACTTCTTTCACCATTTCCTACGTCACGGACCTGTTTCTCTCCCTTCCCATTGCACTTTAAGATTGCAGATACCTTAATTAATCCAATCCTCATAAACAGTTCCCACACTCCGGACTGCTCGACTTGAATACTTCCTTCATCACTTCCTACGTCTCGGACCTGTTTTCCTCCCTTCCCATTGCATTTTAGGATTGCAGATACCATAATCTAATCGTCATATACAGATCCCACACTCCGGACAGCTCGCCTTTGCTACTTTCTTCACCACTTCCTACGTCACAGACCTATTTCCCTCCCTTCCCAGTGCATTTTAAGATTGCAGATACCTTAATCTAATCGTTATAAACATAACCCACACTCCGGAATGCTCACCTTTACTACTTCCTTCACCACTTCCTACGTCGCGGACCTGTTTTCCTCCCATCCCATAGCACTTTAGGATTGCAAATACCTTAATCTAATCGTCATAAACAGTACCCACACTCCGGACTCCTCACCTTCACTACTTCCTTCACCACTTCCTACGTCGCGAACCTGTTTTCCTCCCTTCCCATAGCATTTTAGGATTGCAGATACCATAATCTAATCGTCATAAACTGATCCCACACTCTGGACAGCTCGCCTTTATTACCTCCTTCACCACTTCCTACGTCGCGGACCTATTACCCTCCCTTCTCAGTCCATTTTAAGATTGCAGATACCTTAATCTAATCGTCATAAACAGATCCAACAATCCGGACAGCTCGCCTTTGCTACCTCCTTCACCCCTTTCTATGTCATGGACCTGTTTCCCTCCCATCCCAGTGCATTTTAAGATTGCAGATACTTTAATCTAATCGTTATAAACAGTCCCCACACTCCAGACTGCTCACCTTTACTACTACCTTCACCATTTCCTACGTCGCGGACCTGTTTTCCTCCCATCCCATAGCATTTTAGGACTGCAGATACCTTAATCTAATCGTCATAAACAGTACCAACACTCCGGACTCCTCACCTTCACCAATTCCTTCACTACTTCCTACACCGGGACCTGTTTCCCACAAATAACATGAACTATCATCATTAACCTGCAAATCTCTTCCAAACGATTCAAAATACAGACAAATAAAAAGTTCATAATCCTACCATGTAGCAGAACGGTCATGAAGCAAGATTGCGGTCAAAGATAATATAAGTCATAGAATCGAGTTTGAAAAATCATTAAATATTTTGAAGAGTTAGGCCTATAGCCAGAAAAACAAAGCCAAAGTATGGGAGGAATTATTTATTTACCAACATATGAAAGAACACGGCAATGAAACCATGTTAAATATGAGAGAGGAATATTCGGACAAGATTACATATCAGCTGTATTACGATGTACATAGCAAAACTGTAAATAAGAACCACAAGTCAGCTGATACCGTGACGTCACTCTCCCCCTCCCGTGTTCGTGTTCCTCAGTAGGCCTACAAATGTCGTCCGGTCGAGTTTTACCTAAACTAGTGTACGCAACAAAAATATGTGTAAATAGCATGCTAAAATGTTCTGTGTTTGTGTATATATGTGGTTCCTGTAAATAGTTGACAATCATCTCTCGATGTGAAAATTCTTACTTACAAAAATGCTGCTGAAGATGAGCCGTATTAGGCTCGAAACATGTACAGCTTAATTATCTACAATTGACACAAAAAATGAGTCATGGGTGTTTACTGGCATATGTAAGTAGATTATTATCTATAGTAAACATATAAAACATAATATTAAAATTAAAAACAAACTTTATAAAGATTTCTTGAAAAAACCAAATGACCCAACATAAGAACAGAGATACAACATTTTAAGAATTTCGTTATAAACCAAATAAGGTATGCGAAAAATAAGTACTTTTAGTACTTTCAGACCAGATAGAAAATAACATGAAAAATAGCAAAAACCAATGGAATTTGATAAAAGAGTTAACAGGTGCAAAGCAAAAAGGTAGTACCGGTACCACAATTGTATTAAAAAATGAAATCGGGCAATTGATTGACAACCTCGATGAGGTTACGAATACCTTAAATAACTTTTTCCTCAGTGGCTGATGACTTGAGGAACAAAATCTTGTACGATAAGGTAAACATCAATCGTGTATTTGACCCTTACAGGAATAACTTTAAAAGGACCTCAAATAAAGATTCAATTTTTCTCTACCCAACGTGCGAGGAGGAAATAATGAAAATTGTAAATTCATTAAGTGATAATAAAGCACCAGGTTATGATAATTTAACTCCTAATATAATAAAAACTATAGCTAATTCCATTGTACATGTTTTAGCCTACA